CCATGTCGTGCAATGCCGTGGAGGTCAGAAGAGGGCTTTGGATTCCCCCCGCAACTGGAGTTAAGGACAGTTCGCAGCCGCCGTGCAGGTGCTGGGAATCGAACCCGGGTCCTCTTCAAGAGCAGTCAGTGCTCTTAACTGCTGAGCCATCTCTCCAGCCCCTGTTTAATTAATTTTTTATTTTTAAGAATTTCATACGTTTTGTATTTGCATTACTTCCATCCCTCCCAGTCCCCCTTTAATTCTTCCCACACCCCCAACACTCCTCTCAATTTCTTGTGTACTTGACAATTTTTAATGACTTCTAGTTTATATCTCATTCATTGTTTTACTGCTTGATTCTTTCCAACTGCTCAGGTTTGCCCTTTCTGGCACATTTAATAATAATTATCTATATACCACCTCCACAAATAACCCTTCTACTGGGCCACCCCTCAAAGGCTCATCTAAATTCTACTTTTGAGTCTTCATGTAAGCTATTTCCTTTGATTGATGGGGTGACTACTCTCTTTTCCACTAGCAAATCTCTCCCATCCATCAAAGCCCAGTGGGCTTGCTCCTTGATGAAACCTTCCCTAAGTACTCTTGCTCTCATCGATTTCTTCCCCCTGTGAACCACAAAGGCAAGAGTTTAATTACTATACTAATTTCCAGTTGTTGCATTTGTATCTAATATGCCCAGTAAACTGAAATTTAAAGGCAGCAAACATGACTTACAGTTTATATTTCAATGTGTAAAAAAAAGTACAGTTTATTGGTAAGAGGGGAAAAGTTCCTTTACTATTCTGATTGTTCTGTATTCACTATCACAGATGGATAGAAATTAAACACGGAGAGACAACTTTCAGGTTCCAAGTCCATTTTCTCATCTGTAAAATGAAGATTATATTACCAATGTTTACCAAATTGTGACTTGTGAACCCAACAGTTCCACAGACCTGGAGGCGGATGTGAGAGGATTTTCTCAAAGCAGCCTAAAGTATGAGTTAGAGGCAAACTTGGGCTATATAGCAAGACCCTGTCTCAAAAGCACTAATAAACAAACAAACAAACAAAGAAGCAAGAGAGTAAGCTCTCCAAAATGGGATTACGTGGAAGAAAAAAAGATTCTATGTTTAGTTTTCCCTAAGGGTTGTTTAACAGGTGGGCGTTTTTGTCTTCTATTAGAGGTTTACCTATTGCAGGAGGGAAACAGGAGTATCATGTTCCAAGCTCTTCTTTCTTTCAGAGTCAACAAACTAGTGGTGAAGTCTTAATAAAAACTAGTAAATATAAAACAGCTCTCAACACTGATAATCTGACAGTGCTACATCTGGCTGCGATGTACCTAACGACAGATCCTATGATGTGAAGAGTCCTAATAAAGTTTCCCTATTCTTCCCAGGCACAGTAGTGCTGCGGCGCATTTACTTTATGTACTGTACATGCTTCTGGAACCCGGTGGTCCCAATAAGAAAGTGCCTTAAAATCTAGTTCTAGCTACCAATTCAGGATTTCACAATTCATGTTTCACAAAATACAGGGTGGCCCATGCCTATAATCCCAGCACTCAGGAGAGGCAGGAGGATCAAGGGTTCAAGACCAGTCTGTGCTACATGGTAAGAGTCTGTGGAGACACAACAAAATATGGAAAGCTCAAATACTCTACATGTGTACCCTCTACTTTTCTCATTTCAGTAACAGGGTCTTTTCTGCCTCCACATATTTTTATTGTCGCATGCTTATGTTTTAGATTTACCTTATCTCTAAAACCAAAGGAAAAAAAAATCTTGGCTCTCTCTCTCCCTCCGTGTGTGTGTTTACTACGTAGTGTTGGGAAATCAGACATGGGTCCCAGCCCGTGTTACTTTATGGTTATAAAACACTAAAAATTTTTGTTTTCATATTAGTAATATTCAGTTGGTCATACCCCAACCTTATTTTAAAAGTAAAAGTGAATGTTTACTTACTGTTAGTTGCTTGCACATTTTCTTCTAGTTTACAGAATACTCTTAATTCAGACACCAGCCAAGCACAGAGTTTGGTGAACTCGGGGGAAGTAGCTCCTGCAGAAACTGCCTGCAACAGCGCACCATCATCCAACAATGGGCCCTTGTAACTGGTGGGTAAGAAACTACATTTCAGAAAGTTAAAACCATACTGAAAATGTTGGACCTATGTAATATTTATATAGTTAGGTAATACTTTAATAAAATATGATGGCCAATTTCTAAACTTGCAGAATAAACAGCACTATAATATACCATTAGAAAAATAAGTCAAGCTGGGCATGGGGGACCACGCCTGTAATCCCAGCACCGTGGAAGCTGAGACAGAAGGATCTGCAGGTCAGGCTTGAGCTGTGAACACAGTGAGACCCTGTCCCCAAAACAACAACACACAACACAGAACAAAACGCAGAAGCCAAGCCAAAACAGCACGTCAAATGATAACCGCTTTTTGAACCTTCAAAATATATGTGGGGGTTGGGGATGTGTATCATTTGACAGAGTGCTTGCCTAGCATACAGGAAACCCCACTTAGCACCTCAGCACTGCATCACCTCAGTGTGGTGGCATACCTTTGTAATCTTGGTACTAGAGAGGCAGGGGGTCAGAAGTTCAGGGTCATCCTTGGCTACACAGTGAGTTCAAGGCCAGCCTGAGATACATAAGATAGTGTCTCAAAACATGGCCTACCCCCTGCCAAAACAACACGGAAAACCCAAAATATATAGGAAGATTTAACATAATTAAAAATTACTAAATAATGTCAACTTCCTTATAGTTACTGAAAGCTTGTTCAGACAAGAGTTTACCTTCTTACTATAACTGGATTGAGTATTAAACTCTGATTAACAAGTAACAGGTACTTATAACTATTTCAGAGGTAAAACTTAAGTTATCTTTTTACGATCTTCTTTCCAAAACTCAATTGGGCTTTAGTTTCAGTGACTTCCTTTAAAACCCTTTTGAAGTAATCATTTATTTCATAAATGTGTTCTTAGTTTGTTTCGGGGCCTATGAACTCCATATACAATTGAAGATGACCTTGAACTCCTGATTCTCCTGCCTCCATCTTCCATGTGCTGAGATTACAAGCACTGGCTATCAGCTCTGGCTTCTTTTCTATATTTAATAACAGTTATGACTAGTAAGACAAACTAGTAACAGAAATGTCGTGACTCTAATAATTACTGGTCCGTTGGTAAACTGAATCCTGATTTGAATCCTAATCCTTTGTAAGTAATTCTAATATAATTATTAAAAATTCCAAATGTTCAAATATCTACCACAGTTGGGTACTGGGTGTTGTGGCTCATATATGTAAAAGCAACTAGTGGGGAAGCTGTGGCAGGAAAACCAAGAGTTTAAGGTCAGTCTAGGCAACTTAGCAAGATTGATCTAAAAAAAAAGTAAGATAAAATAAAAGGCCAGGCCAGGTGTGGTGGTATAAGCCTTTAATTCCAGTACTGAACCTTGGGAGGCAGAGTCAGGAGCTCTCTGTGAGTCTGAGGCCAGCCCCAGTCTACAAAGTGTTTCAGGCCAGCCAGGGCTACTTAGAGAGACCATGTTTAAAACAAATAAATAAATGAGCTTAAAATCTATATAAAACTTATTGTTGGGCCAACAAGATGGCTCAGTGGGTTAAGGTACTTGCTACCAAGGCTGAAGACTTGAGTTCAATACCTGGGGAACCCAAATTATCAGAGAGGAAAAAACTACAGCAAGCTGTCCTGACCTCCAAAAGCATGCCACAGCACACACACTCATGAACACACACACACACGTAAACGAATAAATATTTTAAAATAGTTAAGATTATACACTTTTGTTGTTTTTTTAGACAGGGTTTCAGCTTGCTCTGTAGAGGATAGCCTTGAACTCAAGAGATCTACTGGAATTAAAGATGTTTACTACCACACCTGGTAGAGATATAGAGAAAGACATTTTTCAATTTCTTTTAAAATGCTTATATATGAAATGGAGTAGAAAAACATCTTACATAAAAAATGAAATTTCATATAGTCTGGTGTCTAGATTTAAAAAACAAAAACAAACCCAGGGCCTGAGAGATGACTCAGCATTAAGTGCTCTTGCAGAGGACTGGGGTTCAGTTCCCAACACCCACACCAGGCAGCCCACAATCCCTCTCTAACTCCTGCTCCAGGGAATCCGATGCCCTCTTCTGGCAGGTGCCTGCACACATCTGCACACACATATAGACACTCAGGCACACATACATACACACAAAATAAATTAAAAAAAAACCAAATATTAGACACTCGAATAAAACGGCTAGGCCTAGAATTTCTCCTTCTGTTTCATATTCACTCAATAGTAGCTACTAAATTCCTACTATGTGCCAGGTAGGAAATAAGACAGCTTAAAACTGTAACTTTAAGTGAATTCTTAAAAAATTCATGTTAATCAATTAAAGCTGATTTTTACTATTCGAATGCAACCAAATGAAGTTAAAATTTTGAAGAATTCAGAAAATCCTGTGATTTGTATTACAATCAACTCAACTACTTGATGATAATTGTTACAGTAATAATTACTTATGAAGTTAACTCAGGCAAGAAAAACATACTTAGGGCAAAAGAACACAAATGGGAAGAAATTCCACCCACAGTGGCTGGTTAACTTAGGGACTATTTTCCACTTTTCTTGTTCCACTCCTTCAACACTAACCTTCAGGGTAACTTCTTTCAGGAAGCTTCTAGAGCTTCATTTCCCTTCCAAGTAAAGGACCCCTCCTCACGTTCTTCACAGTTATGTGAACATCACAGTTATCATCTTCCACATGATCTTGTACCCTAAGAGTAACACCCCCCCCACCACAGAGCAAGGGTCCCTCCAACAGGTTTATTGAGTAAACAATTCAGCTTGAGATATCAAAACAGCCCATTTTGCAGAATATGACTTACTTAGGGTCTGATGGAAGACCTAAGCCTGGGAGCGCTCACAAACACTGGGGAGCGTGTTTGGAAGAAATGGTGATAGTAATTCACTTTAACAAAGAAAGATGGTAAGTACTGCTTCGTTTCTGAAACCTGTCTCCTAGGCCTTTAGGAAATCTCAAGGTGCCCTTTCCTAAAGAAAGGTTTCTCCTAAAGGTTCCCATGTTATAGAGAAGCCTAAGGGAAAGCTTTTCTAAGGGTCTAGTTACTTTAAAATACAACTAGCTAGATCTGTGTCCCCCAGCCCCCCGACACAGTTACCTATGTAAATACTTAAACATACTTTTTTTTTTTTTTTTCTTGAAGCACTTTTAGCTCTGGAGGGTCCAGGTCCTCAAGTTTAACTGAGTACACTGATCTGGGTGACCCAATGAGATAAGCCTTGTGTCCACGCTTCCAGACACTGATAACTTTATGAGTGGGTAACAGGAGGAAGAGACACAAGATTCAAAAAAACAATATGCTGGTTCTTGGTTAGGTGGACGACCCTGTGGTCGCACGGATCAGGGGTAACTGCCAATGGTTCCCAGGGAGGTGGTGAAAGGTTTGGTGCACAGCTGAGCCGGCTAGAGGTACGGATGCATCGCTAAGACAAGTGCTTTGGGAAGCCTGGGCGCATGCAGAGGGATGACTGGGCAAAGAAGATTTTTCTGAGTGAGTGGGGTGGGGTAGAGACTCAAGCAGGAGTAGGAAATCTGGACAAGTAGGAAAGCGAAGACAACTTTGGCAACCCAGGTGTGGGGGTAGGGTGGGAGGACGGGAGGCAAGGAGAGAACCCTGGGGAGTGGGGGTGGTGAGAACCGGAGCCCAGACAATGACACACATGACCGACATTCGCTGCGGGTAGCTGGGCTGGAGGGGGCCCCGGGGAGAACTAGGGGCGCCCCTGCCGAGCGCGCACAGCAGGCGTGGACGTGGCACTGGGGTCCCGGGGCCAGCAGGACGCTGCAGCGGGAACCCGGGTGCGGCGTGGAGAGGCAGGTGGCTCCGACTGGGGCGCCCGACGAGCTCCCGGGGCTCCAGCAGAGTGGGCCCGCACAGCCCCGCGCCCCGGCTATCTTACCCTAGATCTTCCAACGACTCCAAGATGTCAGTCTCCATGAGGTCACACTCCATGCTACTGTGGTATTCAAATTTCCGAGTCGTCAGGCTCCCCTCTCGCCGGCAACGCGTACACTCACGCATGCGCTCCTTTCGCGGACCGCCGAGTCGACAGCTGGCGCCTCGGTCTCTGCACTGCGCATGTTCGGAGCCTGCGCAAGCAGTTTGGTTCCACCCATCGTCCACACCTCACTCCCCGGACGAAAGCCGGGCCGCACCAGTGTGCGCATGCGCAGTATCGGATGTGGAAGCCAGCCGCCCGGAGAAGGGCAGAGGACTGGCGGCGTGGCAGCTGGGCTCCCGGACCGGCTACAGGGCGCGGGGCTCCGTGCGCGCATGTGCAGGGCTTTGGGCCCGGCGGGTGCGGAGTTGGAGGCTGTGTCAGTGGTGGATCTGCGCTCCGCACCCGGGACCTGCAGTCGGGGTGGCAGATCTAAGAGCGCAGCGAACGCTACACAGCTGCCTTATGGTTTTCTTGTAAACAGCTGCTCAGTTGGCAGATGGAGAGCCCTGGGCTTTCCTTCTGCATGGATGCAGTCAGAAAGTTGAGTAAGGAAACTTTTCGTTAGCTGCCTTATTGAGCCTGTCCCAGGCTAAACATCTTTAAGGAGAATGGGGCCTAACGCCGTACCTAATGTAATAGGGTACATTAAAACCTGCAGTTTAGTCGGTGAATCAATGTTTTGTCTGTGTTGTCTTTTCCTTTGACCGTGCTCGCTTGCGTTGAAGGATTCAGTTCACGAGTTACAGTTTGGCGGCAGTTATTGATTATATGCTTAAGAATTATTGAAAAACGAGAAAAATGTTTTCAAGAGATGAAATACTTAGAAAATTAGATTGAACCAAAAGTAGGCATTTTATATTATGTAGTCATTTTGCTTTCAAATTGCTCCCAGATTTTACTTTTTCTCATTTTCACGTTAATGGATACAGGTACTCTCGCTAAAATATTTTATAATTTTTATTTTTTGTGTATGAGTGTATTGCCTGCATGTATGTAAGTACACCCATGTCGTGCAATGCCTACGGAGATCAGAAGAGGGTGTTGATTTTCCTGGAACTGGATTTAGGAAAGGTTGTTAGCCGCATGTGGGTGCTGGGAAACAAACCCTGTCCTCTGTAATAGCAGCCAGTGCTCTTAACTGTTGAGCCACCTCTCCAGCCCAGGTTCCCTATCTTTAGCAATACATTTTCTTTTTTAAATTTAGAGATTAGCATTTATTTCCTAAGGGATCGAAACATTTGGATTGGTGATGGTATGGTTGGTGTAATTGGCAACACTTGTCACAATACAAAACCTGCCTTGTACAAAGACCACTCTCTGTATGATGCATATGACCAATAGTTGTTTCAGCAGGAAAGTGAAAAAGATGTCCATAAATTTTAAGCAGTCCTCTTAATTTTTAAAAAAATCTCACCAATTTTTAATAAATTTAAAATAGCCTCAATTTCTTTTTAGAAGCAAAACAATTTTTAGTTATTTTGTATCACGTGGAGTGGAAGAAGATTATGTACCTGCTGTGTACTTTTTCTCCGCTTGGCTCACGTATCATCTGAAGTTCCCCCAAGAAAGCCACATCAATGGTAAATGCTCTACAAGGCTTATTGACTGATTGTAGCTTCCTGGTTGTAGGGAGTTGCAGATCTGGGGCTGTCTTTAGTCCCCTTAAGAGCCTCTCATTGCCTACCTCATTTGGATTATCAGATAAAACTTTTGGAATATATGAACTTTGCAGACCATTAAATTTCAGCAACCCCAAAGCAAAGTATGTCATCGATAACATCTAAGACTTTTAGCAGAATTTTCTCTATATTGCTGCGACACACCCACCTGTTGTTGCCACCAATATATTTGGAAAAAAAATCCCTTGATTTGACTTTTTGTTATGTAACTATATAAACCTCACGAAACTGGTTCCATGTTGGAACGTGTTATTTGGAGCATCTGAATCTCTGTTCCTGTTATGAGTGTAGTCACTCATATTTGTCTCTAGAATAAACTGTCCTGTTCCCTTTAGGTCGAGAACTGTGTTTTGCATTGACACACGTTATGGTACAGGCTAAATGCTGTGTAAATGTTAGAGATGGGGATGCTAAAGCACAGAGGCTTAATGATCCTTAAATAGCAACTGCATTGAAAAAATATTTATTTTTATTTTATATGTATCAGAGTATTGCCTGCATGTATATAAGTGCACCCTTGTACAATGACTAGGGAGGTCAGAAGAGGGTGTCGTATTTTGTTAGCTGCCACGTAGGTGCTGAGAACCTAACCCAGGTCCTCTGCAAGAGTAGCCAGTGCTCTTAACCACTGAGCCATCTCTCCAGCCCCAGTAACTGCATTTTGAGATAAAAGCATATTTGCATTTTATTTGTTCAGATACGGATTTATAAGCAGAATGCTAAAAGATAAGAAAATTAGCTAGCCAGGTGTGTTTAAGCTTATATACACCATGTAAATACAATAAAAATGAATTTTAATCGTGGGATTGTTGAAGGTGCTAAACAAAAGGTAATAACATAAAATCATTTTTAATAAAAAGATGTTATTCTTGATTCAACCTCTCTTTCCCTTGCTGTGTTGCTCAGACTGGCCTTGAGCTGTTGATCCTCCTCAGCTGTGAGAACTGTGGGCACACCCCTGATTTAAACTATGACAATGTAAGTTGGTAAGTAAGTGATGTGTCCCTGAATTTTGTTAATCTCTTTCTACTGAAATCATTAGCTTAAAGGAGGGTAGTTGATATGAGATTTTCATATGTGCTATAATTTAATTCTACAAAGGCCTTTTCTGCAATAAAAATATTTTAAAATAGTTTATGTGTATGAGTGTATTGCCTACATGTGTGTAAGTGTACCCATGTCATGCAATACTCGTGGAAGTCAGAAGAGGGCATGGGATCCTTTGGAACTGGAGCCATCTCTCCAGCCCGATGCAATAAAAATGTTTTAAAATACTACTTTTTGTGGGGCTAGGGATGTGGTCCCAAATGTTTATCATGTCAAGGCTCTGGGATGATGCTGTTAAAATAAATACTACTTTAAGGTTTTTCCATTTACATAGAATCTACTAGGAATCATCTGCATTTTATTTAGAAATTGTTTGTGCTGGTACTCTAATCTGATTATCTAATGAGTCCATTCAAGCTGAGTTTAATGTAATGAACATGTTAGGTTGCTAGGTAGATATTAGCAGACTTCGAGGTCACTGGAAATGGACCCCTTTCTCATAGTCAGTGGGACTATAAAACACAGAACTGAAATTGCAGGACTCTGATCAAAACTTCAGGACTCTGATAACTGGTCAAAAGAATGGGATTCTGAGTCTATCTCTGGCTCTGGGTGGAGACAAAACATTCTGAACCACTCAGGTCATAAAATTAATATATGCTTGGAGGCTTTCTATTAAAGAAAAAGGACATACCACTGTCCCCTCTAGGAAGAGTTTATCCAAATGGGCCTGTCAATCACCAGGGCAGGAAAATGTCTCTCAGGTCTCTATTTTAGAACTAAAATGTAGGTTAGGACAGTGGTCTCTGGCCACTAGTCACACTCACCCCTTGAGAGGGCAATATTTCACTTTGTAAAAAAACTCTGCCTAATTTCTACTTTCTGCTCTGTGTGTCTTGTTTGAATTCTTTCCAGCAATCACAAGGCCCAGGAAGCCGAGGGGAGGCCAGGGTCAAAAGGAACAGTGATCTGGGAACTAGGTAGCTCTAGGTTTTGCCCCTAATCAGTGCAAGAATTTCCTGTTCCAGTTTGTGCTGGATAGCTTTAGTGTCAACTTGACACACCTTGGTTAAGGGAGCCTCAGTTGGAGAATTGCCTCTATTGGATTGCCTGTGGCCATGTCTGAGGGCCCAGCCCACTGTGGGTGGTGCCACCCCTGGGCAGGTGGGCCTGTGTTGCATAAGAAAGCAGGCTGAGCAGGGGCCAGAGGAGCAAGCCAGTAAGCAGCATTCCTCCATGGCCTGTGCTCCAGCTCCTTCCTCCAGGTTCCTGCCCTGAGTTCCTATGTTGGGCTCCCTGATGAACTGTGACCTGGGATATGTAAGCTAAATAAACCCTTTCCTCCCCAAGTTGGTAGTGGTTAGAGTATTTTGTCACAGCAGTGAACAAACTGAGACACAGTTCATCTACATCATGAGATCTTGTTTCAGAATAAAAGGAAATAAGTAAATAAACAGATGAATACCTGTGCTTGTGATCTATCCCAGAGAAGGGCTGGTTACTCTCTGTCATAGTTGTGTATTGCTGCTGTGACAAATTTAAAAGCTTGAAATAAAACAAATTTATTACCTTATAGTTCTGAAGGTCAGACATCTGAAATAGGTCCCTTCAGTTAAACAGCCACACTCCTTCAGGAGTCTTTGGGAGAGAGTCTACACTCTCCTGTTCCTCTCCTGGAAGCAGCCCCTCAGGCCTCAGGTTGCAGCCTCTTTCCTTGTTCAAAGCCAGCAACCACAGCACCCAGCCTCTGTTTCCTTGTCCGATTCCCTCTCTCATCCTCTTCCTCAGTTGCCTTTCTCACTGCCTACCCTGAAATCTAGAGTAACCTCCATCTCTCAAGATCTTTAATTTAGCCACATCTGCAAGATTCTAAGGATGGAAACAGCTTTGGGGTAACAGGCCCATGATTCTATCTTCTATTTTATCTTTCTTTGAGATTAGAAACCAGGAATAATCTAAAAGACCAGCTTCCCTAGTCATCTTGAAAAGAGTAAGGAGAAATCTTTTCTGTGGCCGGGGGAAGAGGGGGTATTGAACCTCAGTCTGTAGTCTAGGCTGGCCCAGCCGGAATTCATTCACTGTATATCCCAAGCTGACCTGGAACTTGCAGCAATCCTCCTGCCTCAGTCTCTCAAGTGCTGGGGTTAGAGGCACAAACCACCATTGTCTGTCCAGAGAAATCATTCTTTATACTTACAAAAATGTGTTGGTGTCCCAGCACTCTGGAAGCTGAGGCCAGATGATTATGGTTCAGGGCCAGCTTGGGTGGCATTGCAAGAAAGACCTGTCTCAAAAAAAGGGCAAAAATGGGGAAATTGAAAACTGACCAATTTTAAAGCAAATATTCGATGTTATAACCTTAATATTATTATGTCAAGCATTGAATTATATAATATTTAAAATTTGTGCAGCTGAGATTTTTAAGAAGTTA